GAATTGAGAGAGAAGAAAGACAGTTAGAAAGAGAAAGAGAGGAGAGAAAGGAGACAGAGAGAATCGAGAGAGAGGAGAAAAAGGAGAGAGAGAGAATTGAAAGAGAGGAGAAAAAGGAGCATGATAGACTTGATCGTGAGGAGAGAGCTAAAGTATGTGAGGAACAAGTTAGGTTAAGAGAACTTGAGGAAAGAGCAAAAGATAGAGAAGCTGAGGAAAAAGCTAGAGAACGTGAGGAAAAAGCTAGAGAGAATGAATTGCGGGAGAGACAGAAAGATCGCGAGGTAGAGCAAGCACGCCTTGAATTAGAAAATAAAAAGTTAACTTTTACACAACAGCAATTAGAGGAAGGAGTAATTGAACATCATACAGCTAGTGCACATAGTGCAACACCTTATTTACCTCCCTTCACAGAGGGGGAAGACATAACTTCATACATTATCAGGTTTGAAAATACCGCTACCCTCTGTGAATGGCCTGCTGACACCTGGGCTACCAGGTTAGGAATGTTATTTTCTGGTACAGATTTGAATATCTATGCAACTTTGTCGCAGGATATCATATGTAATTATAACCTACTGAAGAAGGCAATCCTTAAAGCATATCAAAAAACCACTAATTCTTACAGGAAAGATTTCAGGTATGCCACCTTACAGCCTGGCCAGAACTTTCAGCAGTTACAGGTAACACTCTTTCGTTTGTTCGACTTTTGGATAGAGAGTTCAGGAATTGATCACAGTTATGAAACTCTCAGAGACTTCATGGTTGCTGACCAGTTCCTGACAGCTCTTCCTCACCAGATACGAACATTCATCAGAGAACGTAACCTGATTAAAGCTGAGGAAGTTGCTGAGGCTGCTGACCTGTATGCTGAGGCTCACAATTCCTATAAAGACCTAAAGGGATCGAACCCTAAAGGCAAGGGTTCACCAGATCTTAAGAAATCAAAGCCTCTAGTAGAAAATAAACTGTATTTTATTCCGGTTTGTCATTTATGTGGTATTAAGGGACATAAACGTCGCGATTGTCCTTCTAAGAAAGTCCAAAAAGTTGGAAGATCTTTTAAAGACTGTAATGACCAAGCACCCTTCTGTTCAGGAACAGTTAATGGACTTAATGTATCTACCATTTTACGAGATCTGGATGCACATGTATAGTCATTTCTGATAAGCTGTTCCCTAACCTTAAAGAAACTCATTCCTCTGCTTTACTTTCAGACTACTTGGGCCGTACGGACACTTTCCTACCATCCGTTGTTACATTAGGTCTAAATGGTTCACAGGTTGGTCTGAAGCCGTACTGACTCCCATCACTTCTTGCTCCGTACTAATAGGTAATGTAAACGGTGCCATTCTTCCTTCTGAGGTTGACCTTTCATCACCAAAGATGGACATAAGTTTTTCAGCTCCTCTTCCTGTAAAATCAGAAAAGCCCCTCGACAGTTCAGATGAGGCAATGTCTCGTGATATTCATGTGGGATTAAAAACCAGTGATGCTACTCTCGAAAGCGAGGTAGTAGGATCACCGGTTCACTTGTTAGATGAAAGTGAGGATATCGCCTCCGATACTATAAATGTCTTGACTAGGGCTCAGACCAAAGCCCAGGCTTCTCCTACTGTCCATCCTTTGATTTTCCCAGACTTTAAGCCTTTAGATATATCGAAGGACTCCTTTGTCAATTTACAACGTAATTACCCTTCTCTTCAGAATTGCCATAATGCTGCTAAACAAAATCAAGTTATCCAAAGAAAAAACTTTTCATATAAATTTGAATATATAAAAGGTATCTTGTACAAGTCAGTATTCAAATTAAATTCAGATGAGATAGACTATTCCATCTTAGTTGTTCCAAGTCAATGCAGAGAGACTGTTCTTAAAATGGCTCATGACCTGCCAGTGGCCGAACATTTCTCGCATCGTAAAACCTTGAATAAAATTAGGGAAACCTATTTTTGGCCCAAAATGTCCTCAGATATCACTATATTTTCATTTCTAAATAATAAAGTGTTTATATTTGACTGTTATTATTCTTTTTCTATTCATTAATTTTCCTGAGGAGGGGCCAGCCTTGGTAATATTTACTGAAGTTGTTACAGGGCTGAGTAAGCCTTCACACCCCCTCCCTCTAACCATTTCTAGGCCAACCCCTACCCCGCCTTTCCTCCACTACACTTTCGAAGTCATTCTGTTTTGTTCCATTCTCTCTACATGTCCAAATCACCTCAACAACCCCTCCTCAGCCCTCTGGACAATAGTTTTGGTAATCCCACACCTCCTCCTAACTTCCAAACTATTCTCTGCATTATATTCACACCACACATCGCTCTCAGACATGACATCTCCACTACCTCCAACCTTCTCCTCATTGCAACATTCATCACCCATGCTTCACACTTATACAAGAGTGTTGGTACAACTATACTATCATACATTCCCCTCTTTGCACTTAGGAGTCTCCACAGACTCCTAAGTGCACCACTCACCCTTTTCCCCTCATCAATTCTATGATTCACCTCATCCTTCATAGACCCATCCGCTGACACGTCCATTCCTAAATATCTGAATACATTCACCTCCTCCATACTCTCTCCCTCCAATTTGATATCCAATCTTTCACCACCTAATCTTTTTGTTATCTGCATAACCTTACTCTTTCCTATATTCACTTTTAATTTTCTTCTCTTACATACCCTACCAAATTCATCCACCAACATCTGCAACTTCTCTTCAGAATCTCCCAAAAGAACAGTGTCATCAGCAAAGAGCAACTGTGACAACTCCCACTTTGTGTTTGATTTTTTATATTTTAGCTCCACACCTCTTGCCAAGACCCTATCTATAATTATATTGAACAGCCACGGTGACATCACACACCCTTTTACTAGGAAATAATTTCCCTCTTTCCTACATACTCTAACCTGAGCCTCACTATCCTCGTAAAAACTCTTCACTGTTTTCAATAACCTACCTCTTATACCATACACCTGCAACATCTGCCACATTACCCCACTATCCGCCCTGTCATACACCTTTTCCAAATCCATAAATGCCACAAAAACCTCTTTAGCCTTATCTAAATACTCTTCACCTATATGTTTCACTGTAAACACCTGGTCCACACACCCCCTACCTTTCCTAAAGCCTCCTTGTTCATCTGCTATCCTACTCTCCATCTTACTCTTAATTCTTTCAATAATAACTCTATATTACATTTTACCAGGTACACTCAACAGACTTATCCCCCTATAATTTTTGCACTCTCTTTTGTCCCCTTTGCCTTTATACAAAGGAACTATGCATGCTCTCTGCCAATCCCTAGGTACCTTACCCTCTTCCATACATTTGTTAAATAATAGCACCAACCACTCCAAAACTATATCCCCACCTGCTTTTAACATTTCTGTGTTTATCCCATCAATCCCAGCTGCCTTACCTCCCTATCTTCATCAACATTTAACAATTCCTCAAAATATTCCCTCCATCTTCCCAATACCTCTAACTCTCCATTTAATAACTCTCCTCTCCTATTTTTAACTGACAAATCCATTTGTTCTCTAGGCTTCCTTAACTTGTTAATCTCACTCCAAAACTTATTCTTATTTTCAACAAAATTTGTTGATAACATCTCACTCACTCTCTCGTTTGCTCTCTTTTTACATTGCTTCACTACTCTCTTAACCTCTCTCTTTTTCTCCATATACTCTTCCCTCCTTGCATCGCTTCTACTTTGTAAAAACTTCTCATATGCTAACTTTTTCTCCCTTACTACTCTCTTTACATCATCATTCCACCAATCGCTCCTCTTCCCTCCCGCACCCACTTTCCTGTAGCCACAAACTTCTGCTGAACACTCTAACACTACATTTTAAACCTACCCCATACCTCTTCGACCCCATTGCCTATGCTCTCATTAGCCCATCTATCCTTCAATAGCTGTTTATATCTTACCCTAACTGCCTCCTCTTTTAGTTTATAAACCTTCACCTCTCTCTTCCCTGATGCTTCTATTCTCCTTGTATCCCATCTACCTTTTACTCTCAGTGTACCTACAATTAAAAAGTGATCTGATATATCTGTGGCCCCTCTATAAACATGTACATCCTGAAGTATACTCAGCAGTCTTTTATCTACGAATACATAGTCCAACATACTACTGTCATTATGCCCTACATCATATCTTGTGTACTTATTTATCCTCTTTTTCTTAAAATATGTATTACCTATAACTAAACCCCTTTCTATACAAAGTTCAGTCAAAGGGCTCCCATTATCATTTACACCTGACACCCCAAACTTACCTACCACACCCTCTCTAAATGTTTCTCCTACTTTACCATTCAGGTCCCCCACCACAATTACTCTCTCACTTGGTTCAAAGGTTCCTATACATTCACTTAACATCTCCCAAAATCTATCTCTCTCTTCTACGCTCCTCTCTTCTCTAGGTGCATACACACTTATTATGACCCACTTTTTGCATCCCACCCTTATTTTAATCCACATAATTCTTGAATTCACACATTTATATTCCCTCTTCTCCTTCCATAACTGATCCATCAACATTATTGCTACCCCTTCCTTAGCTCTAACTCCCTCAGATACTCTGTAAGCCATGCGTGTTGTAAGAGGCGACTAAAATGCCGGGAGCAAGAGGCTAGTAACCCCTTCTCCTGTACAAATTACTAAATATAAAAACAAAAACTTTCGTTTTTCTTTTTGGGCAACCTTGCCTCGGTGGGATACTGCCAGTTTGTTGAATATATATATATATATATATATATATATATATATATATATATATATATATATATATTATATATATATATATATATATTATATATATATATATATATATATATATATATCGTTCCGAATATGTAAAACTGGTCACTTAGCAAGAACTCATTTAAAATTAAGTCCATTTATGTTAATGTAAAAATTAATAATTTTTCACCAAAATAACCTTAGAAAGCTTATCTAACCTTATAACAAGAGTAATTTAATTTAGCCTAATCCAGTTAAATATATTTTAAGTAAGCTTACAATAATTTAGTAATAAACAAACACAATGAAATATATTTTTCTTGTTAGGTTCAGAATGATTTTTGCGAAATTATTGCATACAAAAATTTTAGCTTTTCTTATTCGGCAAGAAGAGCGTTGCCGTATAAGGCAAGTGAGTGATGGTGAGGAGGTTACAGGCAGACTTACTGACCTTCCTGGCTTGAAATTCAGTTATCATTTGCAATTTGCACAATGCTTTTGAGAGTATATCGATGTTATATATTATTTAATGCAAAAAAATCGTGAATAAACGATTCAAGGTGCAAACCTTTCAACTCCCCCCGTGGTTTTTTGGTATTATTATTTAATAATATAGATTTAACTTAAGATAGCCTAAGAAATCACATAACGTCACTTATTTACAAATCTCACAAACCTGATAGCAGAGATGATAGGTGTTTCGAGACGTTCTAGATGGTCCTTACTGCGTCTATCAAGGGGCGCCCCAGCCCTGGCCAGGGTCCTGACAGCGTGTAGGTCACCCCTGTACACAGCCAGGGAGAGAGCAGTGGTACCTCTAACAGGACACCCCAGGTCAACACCACTCTCTGCCAGCCTCACCACCTCACCCATGTCCCCCGTCACTATGGCCTGAAGCAATAAACAGGTGTTTAAGGCTTGCATTTGTTAATAAATATAGCTGAATACATCAATGCTGCGACCCGTCTTTACGTGGTGTTTACATGGTAGGTGTAATATTTTCTTTGATTTGTAAAGTTAGGGTGTACAAAATGACTTTCGATAAATAACAAAAAGGCACAATACCGTGACTGGAACGATACACAAATAACCCGCACATAAAAGAGAGAAGCTTACGACGACGTTTCGGTCCGACTTGGACCATTGACAAAGTGACTTTGTCAATGGTCCAAGTCGGACCGAAACGTCGTCGTAAGCTTCTCTCTTTTATGTGCGGGTTATTTGTGTACGACTTTCGATATTTTCTTTAATATGTAATACGTAGCGTAATGCAATAATGGGAACTTTACTGAGAAAGTGAATAAAATTATACTCAAATTTACTTAATTATTAAGCAAATTTCTTAAATTTACTCTCTTTGAATTATAATTAAGATATATTGTGTAGTATTAGGAATAATTGAGGAATAATGAATTTGTTGTGAAAACGCCATTCATTTAATTGGTCCTTGTTTACTAAATCTTATAATGAGGCTAAACACCTATTGAAAGATAGGTACGCCCAGCTGGCCGGTATTCCCGTGACTTTCCTATAGTTTTATGGCCTAATAATTGGTGGCATCCCATGATCCATCGTGCCACCGCCAATAGAATTAATTGTATTTATCCCGAAACTAACAGAACAGGACAGAGGACTCACAGGCAAGGGCCCACTAGGGGCGAGGGGCAAGTGGGGAGAGGAGGAAGAAGATAGTTGGGGAGAGGAAAAATCTTAAGAAGGAGGAAAAGTGTCAGGACTATACCCAACTGCTAATCAATGGAAACATAATATTCAGCAGTGTCACTCTCGGGAGTATGTCAACTTGCAACGACTGGACGCGGAACAGGCACAGGTTACTGCAAAAGGCGACGCAAACGCATGTCGCAAGCACTTCTGCCCAAAACGCACAAAGATACAGCTCTATGACGATGGCGCTTTTAAAGTTGTTGGAATAGTTGGGCTAATTAAGTCAGGTAGTTTATTTGTATTGAGGTGGAGGTGCCGGGTCGTACAACGTTCGAAAGAGATTTACATCATTGTAAGGATGTCTGGCAGTATCTCCTAAGTATGTAGTCCAGTAGTCATGGCATGCTTCAAGTCTGTCAAGTTGTTTGTCACTGAGTGTTTTCCAGTATACGTTCAAAGCCGGTGTGTTAGTCATGAGGTGGAGAGATTCACTGGTGACAAAATCGTCCCACCTCACTCCCAACACCCAACGTAATGTACGATTCTGGATGCGTTGGAATTTTAGTATGTTTGTCTTGGCGGTTAACGTCAGAGCGAGTGGAGAGTAAGAGAGTAGAGGTCGAATGAGTGCTTTGTATAGATGTAGTTTAGTCTTGGGACTGGCTCCTCTCAGCTTATATAACCTTGAGAGCGCAATTCCAGCCTGTGCAGTCTTAACAGCAATGTGAGATTTTAGATTCAGTGTGTTGTCGAGGGTAACACCAAGAACAACTGTTGAGAAGGAGCGTGGGATGGGGGTACGGGAGGTGCTGTTTTGAGTTCGACAGGAGTTGGGACATCGCGCTTTCTATGGAAGTAAGTGATCTTTGACTTATTTGGGTTGGTTTTAATGCGCCATAATAATTCCCAGGCGGTAATCCTGTTGACCTCTCTTTGTGTTCTGCGTGCTAGGAAACGAATGTTTTCATGTGCTGTGAGTTGAGTGATGTCGTCTGCGTAAGAAAGGGTAAGTGTGTTTGGGTAAAGAGGTTCAGGTAAATCGTTCGTGTAGAGTATATAAAGGGTGGGAGACAGGACAGAGCCTTGAGGTACACCCGCTTTTAATGTGAAATAATCAGAATGATGATCTCTGAGTCGTATACGCATCGTTGGGCCATCTAAAAAGTGACATAATAATTTCATCATATTTACAGTTAATTCAAAGGAAGTGCAAAGTTTATATTTTAATCCATCATGCCAAACAGTATCAAAAGCTTTCTCTACATCTTTGGCGACAAGGGCGGAGGTACAGTTCTGGGCTTTATTGATACGTATATAGTTCAGGATTATATTCAAATCGTCTTGGGTAGAACGTTGTTGTCGGAAACCGAATTGTCTTTCAGTAAGCAAGTTATGTGTCTCTAGGTGAGTCCTGAGTCGCATATTTACAAGTCGTTCAAAGGTCTTACCCAAGATTTCAAGGAGGCTAATAGGTCTATAGTTCTTGGGGTCAGTCAAGTCTTTACCAGGTTTTGGTATGAGGCATGCAGTAGCAGATTTAAAGAATGGAGGGAAATAGCCAGATGCAGGGGAAGCATTAAAGAGGTCAGTGATAGCGGAAGCAACAGAAAGTGGAAGGTGACGAAGGACAGAATGTGAGAGACCTGAAGCACCTGGAGCTTTTTTTGGAAGGTGTGCTAGTAGAGAATGAACATCAGCTACAGAAAAAGGAGAGTTAAGAGGATGCGTGGAGGAAAGTGTGTTTAGGTTTATGATAGGATCAGGATTTGTTAAGTCTTCATGATTGAATACCCATCGCTCTATGTCTAATGTATGTACTATGACAGCTTGGTCTGGCGGATGAGGGTGGAAGATATGTTCCCATATGTCTTTGAAAATATGTACAGCTTCAGCAGGGTCAGAGATCTGTCTGTTGTTGTGATTGTGTCTGAAACTTATGGATGGAAGGGTGCCTGTAAGTCTCCGAATGGATGACCAGAATTCTTTGGGATCTCTTGTACGCTGGACATCTGTTGTGTTTATGATAGATTGCCTATGTCGGGCATGGCCATCATCTAGGCTATGGATGATATGTGTTCGTAAGATAGTTAGGTCCCATCGGATGATATTTAGTCTGTTTTGGTTTGCTAGGAAACGGTGTCTATAACAGGTGAGCAGTCTTTTGGTTCTTTCTGAAGGGCGGAAAGAGTAACGTACTTTGTAGTGTGTCATGGGAACAGCTTCTGCAGCGGCTTGGGTAACTGATTGTTGAATGCGTTGAAATTGTTTGTCTATGTCTGATACTGGCCTATTGTCATAGTTGTGTGTAAGATCAAGAGTGTTTAGGCGTTGTTTGAACAGATCCCAATCCGCCTGAGAGTAAGCTAGGGAGGGGCGAACTGGAATGAGTATAGGATTTGAAGAAATATGGAAAATGACAGGAATGTGGTCAGATCCAGAGAGCGGTCCAGGTGTTGTGAAGTGATGTAGGTGAGTACTAGCTCTGTAAAACTTTTATCAGGGGTGCCTTGGCCATTGTATTTAAAGACTGTTGGGAAGTAAGGTCCAATGTGTATGAGATGTTTCTGTGTATAAGTGTATGAAGTTGCCTACCATGCAAATTTGTGGAGTTGTCATGGAAGTCAGTGTGTTTGGCATTGAGGTCGGCAAGTAGGTATACAGGGAGATGTGTGTGATTAAAAAGAATGGTTAAATCATGAATGTTAATGTTTTGGTGGGGTCTGGTATATGTAGTGTAGAGGATGATGGGTCCGTGTATCGTGTAAATTTTCACAGCCATGCTGTGAGAATATGTAAATGGAAGGTATAAGAACTCATGTTTGACGGTGCCTTTAACAAGAATAGCTACGCCATTCCAGTTTTCAGCAGGGGATTGACGGGCTGAGTATCCTAGTGTCTGACACGTTGATCATCACGCACACACGTGCTGTATAATAACAACACGTCTGGTTGTTCAGATTCAACGAGGTCAGCCAGAATGTGTTTGTTTGCTTTATAAGCTCGTATGTTAAATTGAATAACCTTAAGGGCCATGATTGGGCTTACCTGAAGTTCGGGGATATAAATCTTTCATATATTTATCTGGATAACCCATCATTATTGTACCTGCATCTGATCTGTTCTTGACTGGGTGTAAGGTTTTCCGTCGGTTTTTGGAGTCTACACGGGGAGGGGAGGATGAGGGGGGGCGGGAGGACGAGTTGGAACGTGATGATGAGGTAGGACGAGAGGATGAGGTGAGGCTAGAGGAAGTGTTAGAGAGAGAGGAGGAGGTTCGGGTTTGGTTTTGGTTTAATATTTTGTTAACTTTTTCCAAGTGCTTGTTGAAGTTGGGAGAATTAGTATAATTTGGTTGTTGGCAAGGAGAACGAGACTTATGTGAAGGAATAGGAGAACGAGAAGGGAGAGTTATGGCAGAACAAGGTTGAGATCGCCCGGTACTAGAGCCTGAGCTAGTAGAAGGAGTCTGAAGAGTGGATTGTGGCAGGTGGGTAGGAGGAGAAGGATGTTCCTGAGTAGTAGCATGTGGAGTTTCAGGAGAAGAGAGAGAGGTGATGGGGATGAGTTCATCCTTGGGAAGACAGAAATCAGGAGGGAAAATGATGGGGTCAAAATTGTTGGCTTTCAGAAGAACATTTAGCATCGTGGGATAGTTGGCACTTTTGAATGCTTTGTGAAAGTAGACAGCAGTGAATACAATGGTCTCAAGGATATTTGATTGTTTGGAAGAAGAAGGAGCCGTGGGAAGGTTTGTTTGGGCAGCAGCATCATAGGAAGGGTAGGCTGTAGAAGTGGAAGTAGAAGGAACAGAAGTATTAGGTTGGTAAGTGGATGAGGATGTTGACTATGCTTGTGGGAATGGTATCAAGAATGGGTTGTGAAGGTTTAGAGGTTGGTCTTTTCGTGAGGAAGAAACATGTTCCTTATGAGAAGGGCATTGAAAAGAAGTTGCAGAATGTGCCTGAGAGCAGTGGAAGCATTTGGGAAGGTTGGTACATTTCTGCCATGTGTGGCCTGGAGAAGAACACTTGGAACATAGCTGTTGCTTGTTACAAGCATTCTTCAAATGACCAAACTCAAGGCATTTAAAGCACTGATGAACAGGAACATAGTTAGGGAGAAACAGTGAAGTGTATTCAATGCGTCCATCCTTACCAGTGTTGTGCCAGAGATGTGGATGGCCAATGTGGTTCCTATATTCAAATCAGGGGATAACTCCACTCCTT